GCACCTAAGGAAGAGCATGTGCGTCGCGGCCAACTGGCTGACGTCTGTCTGGACACCCCACTGTGCAATGGTCACACAACAGGGATGGATGTCCTGTGGGCCGGCTGTCCTATGGTGACCCTTCCGCTTGAAACGTTAGCTTCTCGAGTAGCCTCTTCTCAGCTGTCAGCTCTTGGCTGTCCGGAGCTTGTGGCAAGAAATCGAGAAGATTACGAAAACATCGCTATCAGACTCGGAAACGATGCGAACTAGTAAGTGCTTTGTACGAGGAAGCACTGTAATAAGTATTAATTTATTCTCACCAGGAAGGTCCCGTGCTACAAGCATTAACCCGAGAAAGAACGGCTTTTTGTCCTGTTTAATGGGTATTTAGTAGGTGTTGATAGTGTGAAGAAGCTCAATCACAGCGTTTTGAGTTATTTCGTCCACGTCCAAAATAACCTTTAAATTGAAGGAAACCTGAAAATAACAGCTTACTAACAACGAAAAACACTACAGAGATAATAATAAACCATAAAGGAACAAGGATGGTTAAGGATATAGAAGATTAACACGGATAACAAAAGACGAACTTGAAAAATTTAGGCCTAACTTTGAAGATGCGCATACCGTGACGTAGCTCCTTAAACGTGCAGCAGTAGCTTAGACGATTTCTTTTCTCTATTTTCAGCCTAAAAAGAGTGAAGGATAAAGTCTGGAACGCTCGCCTTCGCAGTCCGCTCTTCAACACGAGGCAGTATACCCACAGCCTTGAAGGTCTTCTTCTCAAAGTCTGGAGAAGATACGAAAATGGACTGGAGCCTGATCATGTTACTTCCTGAATGCCAGGAATGGTTTATTTCGCCCAGTATTTGGATACTGACAATCGCCGCAGCCGCTGATCGCTGTTGATGCAACGGAGTCGGGTTCATGTGCTGTAACGGTCACTCTTCAGTGATGTAATCATGAAGAACTTTTTAAAATTCAGGCGTGGACAGCCTACTCGACAGGGGAAAATTGAGTCTTAATACGAGTCAATACTTGCGTCGCCAATTAAGACTTGCGGCTGACAAAATTGCGTTGTTTTATTTTGGTTTGGTTTTGTTTTTGGTTGACCAGGCAGAAAAGATGGTAGGTTTCTGATAAGTTAAGAGGTAAAATGTCGTATAGCGTTCAAAGAAATCTGTAAATATTTAGAGTAAAATTAATGACGTTCGTTCGTTCGTCGCGCGTTTAGCTTCTGAGTTTTAGATAAAGTAGAAACATCTACCTTGGTCAACACGTTAACACGGAGCTTGAAAGGGAAAAAAACTGAAAACAACAAATTTTATGTATTAAATGGTTCACTGTAAAATGAATGTTGTGGTGATCTTAATTTGCCTTGGAAGCGTTATCTTTATCACTGTTTTTTTAATGTTTTGTTAACGTTTCCCACTTCCGAAAGTTATCAGTGCTGTGTTTTTTTCCTGTCTGAATCTCAACGCACTAAACTCTGTTACCCCTGATAGAGAATATTAAAACTTATCTTCGATTTCATATTCTGAATCAACTAAAAAGTCGTCGCGGAGACGTACAAGGAAAGGGACAGCTAATTGGGGCGGGACGGCCTCTCGCACCAGCTAACGGCTCTTGAGTCTCATTGAATGCGAATTGTACGTTTTTTTAATTCAACCCAGTTTTAATTGAGAAACTTCGCCTTGAAAGACCCTGACCCAGGAGCAAAGTAACGTTCGAGTCAGTCACGCAAAATTGTAAACTGACTCGGGAGCAAACTGGACGAGGGGAGGGGGACGGGGAGGGGCAATTTCTAGATATTTTATGACCTCCAAGCCAAGTTAGAAAAGCAGAAGGTTAATCTCGTACTCGGAATATGTTGCACTCTGAGCTGGTAATGCTGGTAAAAAGATTGACAAAACGTGAAACCAAACATACCGGGGAAAGGAAGGGAGAAACTCGAGAATGACACTGCCCTTCCCCACACTCCCTTTCTGGGTTGGTATCTTATCATGAGAAATAGTTATTGGACCATCCTGGCCAGAGTGTCTCTCTTGATGTGGTTTGGGAGACCCCTCTATGATCTAAGAGTCCTGTTTGTTGGCTGGCACTATACCCATTTACTGTAGAAGGACGACCACCCAGTACTGTCTAGGTAGGAGGTTTTCGGAACTACACAGAAAAATACCCCGGCGTGGATTTGAACTCGAAACTTCCAGACCAGCTGAGCTAAGAGACCAGGTGCTGTGAGCAGGATGCTTGTTGGATAATTCTTCTTGTACGAGCAAGTTGAGAGCAGCTTTTGCTATTTCCTCCATTTTCATTCCAACCATAGTTATGTTACAACCTCGTACAGTAAACCAACATGTTCTCGCCATTTTTTCGATTGTCCTGCTGAAATCTGGAATCAAGTCACTGTCACTAAATACGTGGTGTAACAATCATATAGTGTTATGTTTTTACTAAAGGACCTTTCCTGAAGATGGTTCAAAACCACTCAAAACACTACATGATCGTTACACCACGTAATTATGCCACAATTTACAAATGGCGGCTTGGGAAACGCTTGATGTTGCTCTTTTACCAAAACATCGTTGAATTATTGAAACTTAAAACTTCATGGTCCTTCTAAAATGTCACAAAGAGGAAGCAATAGTGCAAGGAGTTCTCATGCCAGCGACAATAATGGAGATAGCACCTTACGGACAGAAAATGACATTACTGAAGATTTGGAAAACACGACGGACGTTGAATCTTCAACTTTGTTGACAAGCTCGGCTCTTTCTTCCACGCAAGTCGACAGTGAAGTGGAAAACAAGATTACTAAACATGAAATCGAAAGAAAACAACTGCTGCATGATTTAGAACTTCTCCGTATCGAATTGAGTCAGAAAAACCTCATCATTGACAACATGAAAGTTGATCATATGAGCAAAGTGGACGAGTTAGAGGAACTCTTGGCCGATACGCGACACGATAAACAAATCCTTCAGGCGAGGCTCGAGTCGCAGCTTAAACTGCAACAGGAGGAATCTAAGAGTTCTCTTGAAAGAACGAGACAGGAAATGGCGAAAATCTTCAAACGACAACAACTACTGGAATTCGAAAACAAAAAGTTACAAGAAAAGGCAGTGGATTACAGAAGGGGCTTGAATGATCTAGAACAACTGTCTGATGAAAAGTACTTGGAACTGAAATCTACTGAGCCTGAACAACTCACCTTGAGAGAATTTGTGATGGTTAGTTTTTAAAGTAATCTCTGGAGCAGCAGGTGGGGTGTTGGGGGTGGGGAGAGGCAGTTGACCTTGTTCCCAGGGTCTCTCTTCTTTCTGTCCCCTCTGGGATGGTGGGAACGAGAGACCCTGGGAACGTAATGGGGTTGGGGATGAGGAGGGCATATGTGTGATAGAAACCTGGGATTAAATAAGGTGGGAACTGGTAAGTCTTCGAACATTCTCAAGTGATATATTAGTGAAATGGAAACCTAGCTTGTCTGTAAAGTTTGTACAGTCGAACCTTGATTATCTGTACCTCGATTATCTGGATTTCTCGATTATCTAGACCTTTTCTGTAGCCCCAATTTTGTCACGAATATTTATTAGTCATGATCAAGATCCGTAGCAATATTCTTTTTAAAACTATGGTTGAGTGATGATCTGCTGTTCAAAATATCTCACTTTTTAAACTGAATAAAACTGAAATTAGTGGAGATGCTTTCAGATGCTACTGAAAATAATGCCATCAGGAATAACCTCAGTCTTTAAGCTACAACTTCCAGTGGTTTAAGCCATTTCAGAAAGACATATTTACAGTGGTGTGAAGTTGTAATGCAAATTCAAAATTGTCTTTGTTTTGATAGTAGTTATATTTTGGCTAGTGTTAAGCTCTCTTTCAGCTGGTGAAAATAGCCAGCTCTTAGCTTTATCTCAAGACTTATTATGAGGGGGCTGTTTGTGACTGAATTTTTTGTGGAGCAGGGTGAGCTTGTGCTAGGAAGAGTAGATTGGGTTTGAATCTCGTTTTTTTTCAGGGAGGAAGGAAAATATTGAGAAGCTTGTTATAGGAAGCATTCCAATGCACAGAGTTAGTCTGACTAATCACAGAAGTTAAATCATGCAAATAATAACTCTGGGTTAATTTTTTTTAGATAAGAGTTTATGAAGCCAGTCATCCTCTGTTGCTGGAATGTACAAGCCTTCAACAGCAAGTGGAAACTTTGACTCATGAACTTCACACTAGAGAGGAAGAAGTTGCTTTTTACCGCAAGGTAATGTTGATAGGCAAAGTAAATCATTTATGACTACGTATTAACCGAGAATGAGGTCTTTTCAGGAAGATCTCAAACCGGTTCCCATTAAGACCGAACATTCAAGGTTAACAAGTTGTTAATTATGTGGCTTTTTGTCCATTCAACAACATTTTCAACCCTTCCTCATAGCAAGCTCCAGAATGTTTTCTGTCTTGCAAAATCAACTTCTGTTATGGCGGGACGATTTCCAAGGAGATGAATCGTTTGATTTGAGTCAAATCAAGTCAATTAGAGAATGTTTTCAACCCTCTCTTGTAGCCACTACCAAGGAGACAAGTCATTCAATTCGAGTTGAATCGAGTCAATTCAACAACATTTTCAACACTCCCTAGAAGCAAGCTGTCTTGCATTCTGACTTCTGAAAGTGAAGAATGATCATCGCAGTTAATTTTCCAATTTAAGCAATTGGAAAGAAGAAGCCTGAAAAATCCCATTGAAGCCCTGATTTTTTCAGGCTTCTTCTTTCCAATTGCTTAAATTGGAAAATTAACTGCGATGATCATTCTTCACTTTCATCTACTACCGCATTTCATATATGAATTATTTCATATAAATTTCACATCAATTCTGACTTCTGGTATGAGATTTCCACCTCAAGCAGGACATGTTGTTTAGATTTCCGGTATCACAAGATGACTTAACCTTGAACTGGAGCAGGAATGGTACCGTGGAGAGAGCGCTCGCCTCCCACCAGTGTGACCTGGGTTTGATTGCGACCTGTTGTCATATGTGGGTTGAGTTTGTTGTTGGTTCTGGCCTTGCTCTGAGGGTTTTACTCCGGGTACTCCAGTTTTCTTCTTGCCTGAAAAAGCAACAGTTCCAAATTCCAATTCAGTCAGGATATAGGACTCGTATGAAAACCAGTTAGGGCAGATGTGGCTTCCTCTCCAAATCTTATGATTTATTTTTATTTCTATTGACTTCTTGTTAGTTGAATAATCAACTAACATAGATGAATCAACTCAATTTTGATGTATTGGACATGACTGATATGCTAGTCTAGTACCAACCATTTTCATGTCCTGTTGTGTATGACATTACAACTGCTCAATAATATCAGCTTAATTGAAGAAAGAATTTTCATTTGAAAAATGATAGTAATCTAAATATGACTAGACCATGAAATGTATAAGTAGAAACTGCAATAGTGGATTTCGTGGAATTAACAAAAAAAACTTTTATTGTCAAAATTTCAAATATAGGAGGCAGAGGATGAACGCATGGGACGTGCAGAGATGGAACACAGAGTACAAAGGTTGTCTCTTCAGCTGGAGAAGTTAAAATCTCAAGTCAATCAAGGGGATTATAAGATCACAAACTTTGATCAAGTCAGAAGGTGAAGATAGTGAAAACATGTTGCATTCCTTGCTCTTAGGTGATGTAATACATGTGACTGGGTTCAGTCAACATATCATATTTGCATTCTTCATTTGGACGACCTTTATTTTATCCCTTGCAAAATAAATCCCATAAAAACAAGAGATGCCCATCTCCTTTCAAAATACTGATATTACTAGACACTCTGCATGCTTAAAATGATATATTCCATGTGGACGCATGAAACGATTAAACTGCACAAACTTGAATATGTGTACTTGTAATTCATTGTTTGTACAATGGTACGACTTTTACAATCTTGTACGGTTTTGAAAACTAAAAAAAAGGAAAATTACCTTGCTACAAATACAGGAAAAAGACTAGACAGGCAAGAAAAGAAACCAAAACTTATGTTTGCGTCCTTATAATGTTGACAGTAACAGTATATAGGGATTGAAAACGATTCCCTCTTAAACGAATCACCATGAACACTACTTCGATTGAGCACATGCTTTTTTGACTCGCAACGCATCTAGGGATCGTAACTAAAGAGTGTGTGACATCACGCGTAATGGCAGTAACACTCCAGGTGGCACTTTGGGCGAGTTGAAGTCGCTGTGTGCTACCCCAAAGGTAAAAGGTAAAGTCTGCATACGAGCCAGGCTGGTGCTTTTCTCCGGTTTTTGTTAGTAGTACGAAGTGACTAGGGCTATTTCTAAATCCCCTTCTGGATGGAATGCTAGTCCGTCGCAGGGTTACCCACAGCATTAAATTCGCCGGTACCCATTTGTGCTTCCCCAAATCTTAGTGACTTTTCTTCATCTTCCAACTAAAAAAATATTTAAATGTTACTGGCCTATCTTTTGGGCAAGTGGTGGATAAGATGTATTAGTCCAACAGAGAAATCCAACACTGCCACACAATCAGACAGGTCTTTCTTTACACACTGTGCAGGGATCTGAAAACTTGGTGTATATTAGTCTTCTTATTTTGCTTTCATTTATTATTTTGTTTGCAGTGAGCGGGATACTTTGGATAGAGACATCATGGAGTTAAAGAAGGGTAATACACTGTTAGAGGCTGCATTGAAGTCGAAGTCAGACAACTTACTTGAAGTACAAAAACAGGTATGCTGGCTGATCTGAAAAATACCTTAAAGCATATTGCAGTCTACAGTCTTTACTTTACACTGCAAGCTGTAGACTGAAATTAGTTTCTGGCTTAACTTCTAGTTTTTGGTCAAAAGGTTTTATTGCAGCCAGACCAGTCACAGTCAAACACTATCATCTATGCAAGTCATATCAAAATCTAATCAGATCTGCTTGGTCCAGACTTTTCTGCACCAGCAGGCATGATGGTTTTGTTCACTCCTCTCCATCTCCTCAGGCTAATGATGTAGAAAAAATTGTCAGAATTAACACGGCAAAATTGTTAATTCATTTGGTACTTCTGGAGTCAATTACTTATTAAAACTTATCTCCTTTCTCACTATGCTAAGTTACAGGTCAGTAAGCAGACTGTTGCCTTGCTGAAACAAGACAAGGACTACATGAACAGACAGCTGCAGGAGCTGAGAGGCCGCTGTACTTTAGCTGAGGAACGACTAGAGCAGACATCAAAACAACTTGAAGAGACCAAGCAGGCTAGAGAGGAGTTGTATGAGAAGTACGTCAGTGTCCGAGAACAATATAAATCAGAGTATGAGGTGAGACTGAAGACTGAATTGGATGACATCAAAGGAAAGACTTCCATGGAACTGGACAAGATAAGAAGTGACACTAAAGATATGTTTGAGAGAGAAAACAGGCTAGTATTTAATATCAGGAAAACTTAATTTTTAGGTGTGTTCTGATATCATACATGTAGCTTATGAACTTGTTAAATGGAATGTTTCACCAGTAAATTTAAATTTAGATAACTTTGGCTTGTGACTTTCAGTTCAACCTTGCCATTAGATTAGCAAATATTGTTGGGGGCAACCTGACAGAGTGTCAATGGCAAGAGGGGGTGAGGGGGAGGGAACCTGAAATGGAAGTCTGTCTAGCATCCTTGCTTCATGCTAAATTGAAAACCAGAGTTATGTCCAACTGATTTATTAGGTTTAATTGGTACTACAATAATGGCATCAAACAAATGCCCAATCTTGGTGAATGGGTTATGGCCTTTTTCTTAATGCAGAAGGTTACCATAGCAACAGTGCATACCATCAATGCACCCTTTATTTTAGCTTTATGGGCTTATAACTTAGACACAAGTCTGGTGACCCCCATTCTTTACAAATGAACTATGATCAGTATTTTAAACACAAAATAATGTGCAACTTTTTGCCAAATTTAGAAAAAATTATTCTTGTGGCTGTGAAACTGTGTCCAGAAATGTTTTTAAACTTGATAAATAGTTGAATGTTGATATGTTGAAAACAGTTCAATAAAACAAAATGGAGGTCACTAGTCTTGTTTATTTGTTGTAAGCCCTCAAAGCTGAATTTAAGAGTATTTTCATCATCTTATCCCATCAAAATAACTTGTAATGTCAAGAAAATGGCTACAGCTCTACATCTTGCTCTTCAATGGTTGGACATGTTTTTTGATGTATTTGCTGTTAGTAGTTTGTTAACTGACAAAGGGTGGCTGTATTAATTTGTCACAGTAGAAGTGCTGAAACATACTTTAAATTGTTGCAAGCCACCTTGAAAGGCTTTACCCCTTACTGTAGGAATCTTCGAGAAGCAAGAGATAATGCATTGGAGGAAAAAGAACGAGCATTTGCCAGTGAGAAGGAAACTGCCTCAAAATATGATCTCTTGCAATCAGAGTAAGAAAATATTTCTGTAAAAAAAATATTAACACTTTAGAGTATATATATTTTTATCGATTACTGTGTGGTGTTTCTTTGTCCTTGGAGAAAAAGGGTGGTTAACCTTCTGATGGGGATTCCCCTTGGCATTCCCTCCTAAAGTGCATAATGTTCACTACAGATTTCTTGCAAAATACTATGTGACTAGATGAATGTTAATGTTGCAAGTGGAGTAATCCATGTTTATGATGTCATTGTGGGAGGCACAGTGACCTAATGGCTAGCTCACTGACCACTGGATCAAGAGGTCTGGGTTTGAGCCCTAGCCAAAGTCTTTGTGTTGTGTTCTAGGGTAAGACACTTTACTCTCACAGTGCCTCTCGCCTCTCTACCTTTTGTCCTTTTTATGAAGTGTTCACTGATCACAGAGAATTGCCATGATTTTGGCATGCTCTTTTAAGGAAACAGGAAGTAATGTTTATCTTGTGTCTTCCAAAGGTATCATCAATTACAACTGACTGCTGACAGCAGGCAGTCCGATTTGCAGAAAGAGATCAGCGTCAAACAGTTTGAGTTGGAGAGACTGCAGATGATCCTTGATGAAACAACAAATAATCTTCGTCAGGCAAAACTAGAGGCTGAGAAGTACCAGAGCAAAAGTGAGGTATGACTAGCAATGCCAGAACTGATTTTTGATGACTAAGAATGTAGTTGGCCTTGTGAACTGGATTTGGAAAGGAGCTATGGAGTAGAGATATGTTATTATTCAGAGCTGTGCTTGTCTTAGTGCAGTTACCCTGACATGCAGTTAGACAGGAGCACTGATACTTTGTAGGGCTGCTCAGAAGTGAAATCTAATGAAAAATGTAGTGAAAAACGTATTTTAACTGGAGAGAAAAATATTTCAAATGTGCTACACTTAAAAAAAATAACTGAAATACAGTCGAACCCCTATTAAGTGACCACCTGTTAAATGGCTACCCCTATCAGGCGACCAGTAATCAAAGTCCTGATGAGGACTTTTCTATTGTTTTTACCTCTATTAGGTAGCCAGCCCCCTTTAAGCGGCCACTATCCATTTTCCTGAGCGTGGCCATCTGATAGGGGTTGAACTGTATTTTCTTTTTGGGAATGATTACTCTTACTAAATGATTCATAATTTTTTTTCTCAAGATTTTAAATAAAGAATACTACAGTTTGCAAAACTTCTCAGAAAAGCAGCTTGTGGAACTGGAGTCAAAGTGTAAGGAGCAGGGAGACAAGCTGGCTGTTTATGAGAAACTTGAGCAGGAGCTCGACGATGTTATCATGCAGGCTGCAGAGAGTAAGGATTATGACTTCTTTTTATTAATTGGTTCATTAAAATAGTTTTTTTAAAACATGTTAAACGGCGAGGAGGTGATAGGTTGTGTAACTTTTTTTATGGTATTGAGACTCGAGTGGGGAAGTGCTAACCCCTTGAATTCCCCCCACATGCCGTGAACTTTGGTGTTAAAATACTGAGATGTCTGAAATCAGATGTTGTGGCTCATACCCTAACGTTTTTGGTGGGGGTGTGCAACCTGAACCTTTAAACCTGCACCCTCAGACCTAAATCTATGATTTTCCATCGCCTATTTCGGACCTAACCCAAAAATTGAGAAAATTAAAGTCAAAATAAAGTAGCACTGTGTATATTGAATAAAATACTAACTGAAGAAATTACATTTTTAGCCAATTAATTCATGTTGTCAAATTGCTCGACTAATAAAGTCATTGAGACAAGAAATAGCTGTTAATCTGTTAGGTAAAGCATTCCAGAACTTAGCCGCTGTATAAGTAAAGGTATTCAAGCCATACATGTAAGTGGTAGTGCAAGGTTTAAGAAGGGTGAGAATATCAGCTGCTCTCAAAATAGTCCACAGATCTGAGAGAAAACAATTCTCTGAGATACTGTGGATACTGTGTACATGGCTCTAATATATGACTGCAGCCAACTGGTCTGAAATGGCTTCCATTAGGATAAACATTTGAGAAGGGCTGTAAATATGCTAATGTTGGTTTTGAAAAAAATAGTTTCTTGGAAACAAAATACCCAATGCCAAGCCAGAGTGAAAATCATATCCTATTTCAGACCAAAATGGTTAAAATCTATTCCCTTTTTCAGAGCAAAATCATTCAAAAACCACACCTTTTAGGTCCACACATACCTATGAAGCCCATATTAGGGAGTGCCCTCTGGAGGGAGGGGCTCATACATTGCAGAGCTCCTCAAGTGAAACATCATCAATGGAGTTTCCTTCGTTACCAGACCTTGTTAATTGTTAATAAATGTACATTTGATTTTCAGTTGAGAATGAATCAGATGCTGAGCGTGTCTTGTTCTCTTATGGTTATGGTGCAAATGTGCCAAGCACAGCCAAGAGGAGAATGCAGCAGAGGTACATGCACATTCGCATAGACTTTACTCTAATTAAAATGTAAATAACATTGTTTTTACTAATTAAAATAATTGTCAAACTGAACACATAAACCCACTTCATAAACAAACAGTCGAGGCTCCATTGCTCAATTATGATCTGCTATATTTTGTCAAGTGAGTGGTCAAGAATGTACCTGGCTGCCTATTTGACTAAATGAGTTACTGTGTGGCTAAATGACTGATATGATCTGAGTGATAATGGCCTGACTGACTGTTTGTCTGTCTGCCTGCTTAACTAACTGACTGACTGACTAACTGACTGACTGACTGACTGACTGACTGGCCAACTGACTGAAGGACTGACTTACCAACTGACTGACTGAATGAATGAATGACTGTCTGCCTGTATGGTTGATGGATTGTCTGACTAACTGATTAAATGAATGAATGACTAACTGACTCCCTGACTTGTTACATGTGTATATTGCTCTTCTTAGTGTTAAAACTGTATTGTATAAAGTACTGACCTGCCCAATACCTCTTATTGCTGTCTAATATTACTGTCTAATATCAAGTTATTGGTTTCTCTGTTTGACTGATTTTATTTTTGTAGTGTTCACTTGGCACGCAGAGTACTTCAGTTGGAAAGGGCGAACACGTCACTTAGAAATGATATGGAAAGAGAAAAGAAAAAGAAAGACTTACTTGGAAAAGAGGTGACCACACAGGATCTAAATGTAGCTACTTGGTTCATCTGCTGTTGTCTATAGTATTGCTTGAGCCAATAAAGCATTCCAGAACTTAGCTGCTGTATAAGTAAAGGAATTCAAGCCATACATGTTAGTGGTAGTGCAAGGTTTAAGAAGGGTGAGAATATCAGCTGCTCTCAAAATAGTCCACAGATCTGAGAGAAAACAATTCTCTGAGATACTGTGGATACTGTGTGCATGGCTTTAATATATGACTGGAGCTAACTGGTCTGAAATGGCCTCCATTAGCATAAACATTTGAGAAGGGCTGTAAATATGCTAATGTTGGTGTTGAAAAAAATAGTTTCTTGGAAACAAAATACCCAATGCCAAGCCAGAGATGACCACACAAGATCTAAATGTAGCTACTTGGTTCATCTGCTGTTGTCTATAGTATTGATTGAGCCAATATTCCTTCTTGCAGCTTTCCAAGGCCACGTCACTGTTAAATGAAGCTCAACAGCCATACAACTACCTGATTGAGAGTATAAGAGCAAGGGATACACAGAATCAGAGTCTTAATGAACAGCTAGCATTAATGGAGGAGGAGACAAGGTCAATAATAATATTACATGCAACATCTAACCTCTCCTTGCTGAACAACATAAATACTATCTGGACACGTTGCAAAATTCTCGGAACTTGTTTTAAAACTTGGCACTATTATTAATAGTTCAAATTACAGAAGCACTGTCCAGAAATGAAAGTATAATAATAATTATTTTTTCCCTTAACGGTACCTCTGTAATTTGAATTTTCTCAAACATTTTCCCAAGAAAGTTCACCTGCCTATCAGGCAAGTGACAGACAGACTCTACTAGCCTGACTGGGAAATCCACCAGTCCCGGGCTATTGGACAGGACTTTCTTTTTGCGCACTGCACTAAAAGGACAAAAGCGGACATATCTTGTGTTTTGTTATGAAACATTTTCCCTGGAACTGTTAATTGAGCAAACGGATATACTCGTGAGCACAAGCAATTGAAGTCAAAAATTCTCTAGACAGTGTAGCACCTCTGTAAATATCAAAATTACTTCAGAACTGCCTTAAATTAAATTCTTTACTGCCTAAGAAGAGAACCTGGATGAAACATTTTTTCACAGGAAGTTGAAAGCAGAAAAAGAGGACCTTATAAAGTCTCGCAATCAGTTGTCTTCAGACTTGGAAAGACTTCTAAACCAACGAGAGGTACTGATAACACATGAATAAAGTTAAAAGAGCATCTTACATCCACATGAATTGAGTCGGTAAAAATCTTAAGACACGCACAAAATAATGCATCTAAAAATCTAAAACAATAAAATAAAACAGAAAAAGAGTCTAGAGAATTTGAGGTTGCCTTCTCCTTTGGGAGGCAGTTCCAGTCAGCTATAGTTCTCGGAAAATATCACCACTCGTGTATATGGTTTGCTTTCACGTGGAAACCAGAAGGCAAAAGGAACGTGGCCGACTACAGTAGACATGGAGGAAGACGGTACAAAGGGAGCTTTGATAAGAACATGTGAAAAGCATAGTTAATAGAAGGCACTGGTTATGAAGCCCGGCGAACATCAAAGGAGCAAACAAAGATGCCAAGATTTAGGTTGGAAGGTCCATGACCATGCACAATCTTTTGTTTTGCGCTCATACACTTTACATGAGTTACGTAACCAAAGTGTTTCTATTGGTTAGTTCCTCGGTCATTAGCAAAGAACTATTGTGTTTTGTGCATGGTCCAGGCCAAAAAAGAGAACAAAAACATACAACAATGAACTTTGCTGAGTTTCTTATTCATTCCCCTAGAGCTATTAACTGTGGGCAGAGGCAGTATCTGCTACAGATGACAGGGTCAGCCTGGAGGTAGAGCGCCTACAGCCCAATTTTAAACTAGGAGAATGGGTGATGTTATATATCAAACACGAAAGACCGTGTTTGACCACATTTCCAAACACTGAGAAGAGCGTTGAAAATACGACGCGTAGCAGGGTATTCTTGATGAACTTCAAGGTGTTTGGAAATGTCGTCAAACACTGTCTTGAGTGTTTGATGCATCTTCTCAATCGAAAATAAAACTAAGGAGGAAATGGAGAAATGAAATTGTAAAAATCTATGTTAATTAAGATCAGATATCCAAACACTGCTATGGTCACGATTTCCTTTGTTAAAACTCAATGAATTATTAAAGCAGTCATGGTACTTTGAGTTATTTTGGTCACATACAAAATCACAAAAATACTTTACAAAATGTGAAATAACTGTCTGAAGAAACCTGTACTTCGTTGTAATGTGAAATTAATGGCTGATTTCTCTGTTTTGCAGGAGATGGCTGTGATGAAACAAGCAATTCTTGGTTTGCACTCATCAAGAGGCTCAAAATCACAAGTTACAAGGACTTCCACGGGTGTCCATGGCCCTGAATCACATCTTAGAACTTCTGCAGCCCAAGATACCTCAAGCCACGTAACTCATCGACCCAGACCAACTATGTTTGTAAGTTGATGACATGACAGTCATGCACATGGACGTTTTGTTGCCACAATATATTACTGGTTTTATTGCAGCGTATGGAAATCTGGAATAGTAAGGAATCTTATGACTAATTTTCCACACTAGGGAGCAGTATGAAAATGTTAATGGCAAAGTCTGGAAATTTGCTGAAGTCGCTGCTGTTGTGAGATGATTCAAGTTGTTATTTCTAAATGCATTTCCAAGTGTGTGTCTTCTAGCCAAATGCAATATTGTTATCGCCCAGTATATTAGGCACACAACAGTGCAGAGAGCTATGTAGAGTGATGTAGAGTCAACTCTCGCCTTGCAAACACCCGGCTATTAGGGACAGAAGCTACATCCTGGGCCAAAACTACAAACAAAGGGACATGTTTAAAACAGGAAATGGTGAAATAACAAAATGGCACTACCGTTAGCCTAAATATCATTATCTTGAAGGTGGTTAGCTCTCAATAATTTTATGGTTCATCTTATGCCAAATTGTCAAGTGCTATTCCGTCATTTCGCCATTTCATATTTTAAACACGCCCCAAAGAAATGAATGGAAACAACTCCTGTTATTACTGACTCTCGCTATTACGGAATTACAGACACTTCCTGTGGTCCCAGAGTAACAATTTAATTGTTCTTCTCTCGTTATGACAGACAACTTGGATATATTGAGTGACCCAATTATTCTGCAGTCTTGGACTGTTTACTATATTAGAGGATTATGTGTCAGAGTAGATGTCTGCAAATTAACACAAACTGGAACTCTTAAAACAGTATAGCAGTATATGTTACATGTGACACTTTACAACCAAGAATTGGGTCATTTTCATCAGATCCCGCGATTGCGGTCTCTCTCGATTAGACACCAAATTACGGTCTAAAGGATGTGTGCTATAATAATTAGAATTGACTGTAGTGGTAGCCGTTTCAACACATTTCAGGACCTTGAGTTGATTTCATTCGTTACGAAGAGTCTGGAATAGTAATTGAAATGAATTAGATGATGCCTGAAAAAACTGTTGGATTTTTCTGCGATGTACCCTTGAACCGAAATTATATTCGACCCATTGGCTGTGGTTATTGATCACAGGGGCAGTTTGATTATTGTAAGCCTTGCAATAAAGGGGTCAATAAATAGAGCAGTTTTCAATTGAGTGCAGAAAGTGATCAGGCA